AAAAACACCACCAGTCAGCACTCAGGCCTTGTGTTCAGCCCTTCCCCTTGTGCAGCTCTGCTTCGAAATACCCTGTGCTTTTTTGCCACGTTTTTCAGAAGTTTTTTAATTACAGTCAGTTTGTGATGGGTAACACAACTTCTTCCAAGGCAACTGGATATCTTTAGTTTTTTCTTACTGTGATAAACCCTCCGTGGCAGCTGTTGGCTTTTCAGACTCTTGATGGCATCTCTAGCATGGCGGGGGTTGGCTGTGGGTCATGGTCAAGTTAAACACTGTGTTTGGCAGAGCTAGTTCTCAATTGGTATAATCCTCAAGCAAAATACTTAGAAGTGAAAAATACCGTGTTTCCTTGCTGTGTGTGGTGTTGCACTTTTTTCTGCTTGGTCCAAATCCATACAAGAGAAAACCTGGCATTCAGTGAAGCCCAGGTGTGTGATGGTATTCTTGAGTGGATAATGGTAACTTGATTTCTCAATGGTAACTGAAAATTAGCCCTAATTGTAGGAAGGTTGGTATTATTTAGTAACAAAGATTTTTAGACTGGTTTTAGAAAGAACTCGAAATAAAAACTCAAAGCTTCTCGGTATAGAATGAGAATAATCTTGTTGAATTAACAAATAATGGAGGCTGACGTTAGTATGGAGAAGTCAACATTTAATATTTTCTTTACTCGGATGGTGACAGGGATTAGATACTGAAGATATCCTGGAATATTATGGCCTGAATTCAAAGACAAGGCAATGACAGTTTTCTGGCTTTTAGTTGCGGGCTTAAGCAACAATTGTTATATCATTAACCCACTGCGTGATTGTTACGTAGAATTTCCGATTATTCTTGCAATGTTTAAAGTTTTACAGTTACTGCCAGCACAGCTCTAGTCAAGTGGAGAAAATAAGTGTCAGAACTCACAGAACATCTACTAAATTTGTCTTAGTCTGCAAAAGATCCTTCTGTGACTGAAGAAGAAGGTGTTGGGTCGCCGGCACGGTGCTGCTCGTGGTGACTGGTTGTAACAGGGCTGGGCTGGAGTTCCCGGTGCATCAAATATGAGAAGACAGAAAACGGGCCTCTCGGACTAACAGTTACAAAGCAGAATTCCTTGGCTCAAGAGCACTGAAGCCAAAAGTTTCTTGGCGTTCTGACTGCATTCCTTTTCCAGTATGTGCTCGGAATAACTCGGGACTTTTTGGAGCAGAAGTGGGACAAACGTTTGAATGTAGACATAAAAGTCTATGCTCAGTTTAGCTGTTCAGCTTTGAAAATGCATTAAGTTTTGTTCAAAGCACTGTATGTTAGTTATAATCCTTTCTTCTGATCCAAATAATCCAGGAAGCCTATCTTGCTTAAACAGGAGCAGATGCTGGTTGTTGTTTGTTCATTTTGGAAGAGAAGAAAAGTTTCGGTGCAAGTAGCCATTACAGCATTTGGCCTTTTTTGGTCCTTATTTGTCACTTTGGTTTTGGTATTGGTTTTGGCTTTGGAAAATGGACCTTAATGAAAGCCACAGTTTAGTGCTACGCCTTAAATTTTAAACAGCTTTTTGTTCATTTCTATGCTTAAAAGTTGTTTTGCTTTGGGTTCCAGATGGACCAAGATTTCTTTTCTTTTTTTAGTTTTTTTTTCTAGTGCAATAAACTAAGCTGAAGCTTAATTGCTTTTCTATCAGAGGAAGTGTGGTAAAGCTTAATTGGATGAGGGCTTTGCAGTGCTGTGCTGGTGCTGCACGTAAGTGGGGTGGCTTTGGTTTAAGTAGCGTTGTTGAAGTTGCCATAAAACTTGAAGACTGAGCTCAGTTCTGAATCAATCATTTCTGCTTCAAAGTGTGAATTAGCCTGGGTAATACAAAACATACTTTCCTAAAACAAGATGAAGTGTAGTCCTTTTCAATATAATTTTTCAAAGGTAGGTAAGATCATAGAATCATAGAATGGTTAGAGTTGGAAGGGACCCTAAAGATCATCGAGATCCAACCCCCTGCCCTGGGCAAGGACACCTCCCACCAGACCAGGTTGCCCAAAGCCCCCTCCAACCTGCCCTTGAACCCCTCCAGGGATGGGGCAGCCACAGCTTCTCTGGGCAACCTGGGCCAGTGTCTCATCACCCTCACAGCAAAGAATTTCTTTCTAATATCTCATTTAAATCTCCCCTCTTTCAATTTAAAACCATTACCCCTCATCCTATGGCTCTAATCCCTGATCAAGAGTCCCTCCCCAGCCTTCCTGCACCCCACAGGTACTGGACTCTGCATTTTTCCCACATGTGAGATCTTGCATGTGGGGAAAAAAAACAACCAAACAAAAGGTAGATGTGTATAAATCTACATTGATGTAATTTACCTGCAAGGAAACATCTGTTCCAGTGTAACAATGGTGGAAAATTCTGAAATATACACTGCTATCTGGAGGGATGACATTGTGGTTAAATATTAACATCCATAAAAGCACAGAGCTGTTGTAAATAGAGTGTGGAGTGAAGCCTTTTCTCATGTAAGCATCCTATGAGGTAGGAAACGTTCATCCATAGTCACTAGAATCCTCACAGCAGTTGATGTACGATAGAAAATTGTGGATTGAGCTAATATGAAGCAGAATGCCCCGAGTAACCAAACCGACTGCTTTATCTTTTTTGTAAATGCTTTTAGAATTTAGTCTCCTGAACACTGAGCAGTCACATGCCAGCTTTTAAGACAATCCAGTATCATTAATCTGCTGCAAGTTCTACTTTACTTTCCAAAGATAAAGGAGGTAATTTGTAATTTATGCCAGAAAGACAACTTTTTTTTTTCTTCTTTCAAATCTTCATTAATGACACTAATAAAAGTTTGAAGAAAAATGGCTCTACAGGTTCTCCACAACAAAGTATTCCGAAGGGTGGTCAGCTCTGACAGGGGGGATACTTGTAGAAATAAGATCATAACTGCTTGAGGCAACATAAATTGGTTTATGAATCCTCATGTCCTGGTATTTATTGAGAACTATTAAAGGAGTCTCAGCCTTATCTGCAAAGGCACCATGAGTTTTTGAAAAAGAAAAAGAGCTTTCTGAATTTAAGACAGTTTCAGTGAAAAGCTTTCTATTTCCCTGCTCGTTGAAAATCCTGCTGTTAGAAAATCCTACTGTTACTCTTCTTAACTTGCAAAGTCTTTCTTCATTCTCCCCCCTGTGGCCCCCACTCAGTGCGTGGCTGGGAACTGGCAGAGAACTGAGGAAAAGGCAGTTACTTTGACTGAGTCTCTGAACCCTTCCACAGTCAGTTCTGGTCCTGAAGCTTAGTTCTCTTGTGATGATGCTTTTTGTTTGCTTTTCTTCTCTTCCCGAGCCCCTCTGGCCCCTTCTTCTTTTAAAAACCCCACCAGTCAGCACTCAGGCCTTGTGTTCAGCCCTTCCCCTTGTGCAGCTCTGCTTCGAAATACCCTGTGCTTACTGAATGTAATTGTTTTCTCTTATTTCTCCAAGGGGTACAGGCAGCATATCCTCCAATATGTTTTAACAGGGTTTGGGAAACAGGTACTAGTCACGATGAAAGAACTGGCCAGGTTTTGAGAATTGTGCTGATTAAAATTAATCTTGGACCCACCAGTCAGCACTCAGGCCTTGTGTTCAGCCCTTCCCCTTGTGCAGCTCTGCTTCGAAATACCCTGTGCTTACTGAATGTAATTGTTTTCTCTTATTTCTCCAAGGGGTACAGGCAGCATATCCTCCAATATGTTTTAACAGGGTTTGGGAAACAGGTACTAGTCACGATGAAAGAACTGGCCAGGTTTTGAGAATTGTGCTGATTAAAATTAATCTTGGAACTACTCTAATAATAATAATAAAAATTCTTTGAAACTCGTCTAGTGTAAAGTACATGTCAAGATAATCTGACATCTATGGCTTTTTTAACTACTGAACCAGTTTTCAGAGGATGGCATATTATAATAAGATTCAAGGTTTTGTGTGTCTAATTCTAGCCCGCTAAAAACTAAAATTTTCCGACTCAGCAAAACATACTTCATTGTCAGAGCGATCATGAGACGCGTGCCATCACTGGCTGTCCTGGAGTGCCTTACTGTTGCTACGTAATGGAGCTTTGTTGCTGTAGGACAAAGACTTATTGATAAATTGCCTATAAAAAGTGGCTTTGGAATATTACTTTATTGTCAGTGAAGTCTCTATGTACTCACAGTTACGTCTCTCCTTACAACACCTGCGATACGAGAGATTCAGAGTTCCTGGTTGCAGCTGTAGAGAGATACGCTGAGAGATACAAGCAATAAACTGGAAGATTACTACAATTAATTAGCTATGCCTTGTAGAAGAAGGAAAAAGAGTAATAAAGAACAAAGAACAATATTGACATTGGAATACTGCAGTCAAAAGGTGTGGCTGCTCAGAGGAATATGATCAACTGCCCTTCCTTCACTGCCAAGAGCAGTTGGAAGTGTGAAAGATAACTTATTTTGTTATCTGAAATCTTGTTTTGATAGATTTTTGTGAGCAGTTGTAAATAGATTAGCTGGCTCCATAAATGTGCAAATTTCACTGTAATAAAATCCTGGTTGTGTCTGCAGCAAAAAAATCATTGGAAGGTGCAAGTATTTAAAAAAACGAAACCAACGACAAAATGATGCAGAAGTCACAGAATGATGTGGGGTTGGAAGGGACCTCTGGAGATCATGTAGTCCAACCCCCTGCCAAAGCAGGTCCACCCAGAGCAGGTCCCACAGGAATGTGGGTTTGGAATGTCTCCAGAGAGGGAGACTCCACCTTCCTGGGCAGCCTCTTCCAGGGCTCTGCCACCCTCAAAGTAAAGAAGTTCCTCCTCATGTTTAGGTGGAACTTCCTATGTTCAAGTTCATGCCTGTTACCTCTTGTCCTGTCACTGGGCACCACTGAGAAAAGACCAGCCCCATCCTCCTGACACCCACCCTTTAAGTATTTATAGGCATTGATAAGATCCCCTCCTCCTTCCAGTATGTAAATATGCAGTATTTAGTGTGTCTAAATATTCTGAGAATGCTTGTTTTTGTGCATTACACGGAGATACCTTCAGGATATCTGGTCTGGGTGCGTCCGCTGGACTTTGAAAGCAAAGGCGAGTTCCTGCAAGATGATCCTGGGTTTGACTGTGAGCTTGTTAGGTCTTTGGAAGAGTTAGTGAAGACTGTAGAGGCACCAGAACCTATGAACTGTTACCAAGTGATCTTTCAGTACCTGTGAGCGTGTGTAGTCCTGCCTTCTAATTAATGAGTGCTCTGTTCTCTCCCTCAGGCTGGCAGCGATGGCGAAAGCATCGGAAACTGCCCTTTTTCACAGAGGCTGTTCATGATTCTTTGGCTGAAGGGAGTGGTGTTCAGCGTCACGACAGTTGACCTGAAGAGGTAAGAAATGCTTGGCTTATCTGATAAGGGAGAGTACGGTATGTTGGTGTAGCAAATGTTTGTTTGGGGCTTGGAGGTCTTACGTGGCTTGTTCTATGAAATGAAAAAGAAAGTCTGTCCTCGTAAATGCCAAGATTCAACCTTGATGTCAATGGTGCATATATTGATGGTTATTTATCAATGTCTGTAACCAAAAAGAATTGGTCTGATAAATTATCTTGAATTTGTTAAATTCAACTTCTGTAAAACTAATAGCTGATGTGAAGTCTCTTATGACTGAATACTGAATCCTACTCACTTCACATCAAGACCCTGCAAGTGAAGACTCCTGGGTGGGTGTTTTATATCAACCAATCTTTGACTAAATCTCCAATGATCATAACTGTCAAAAATAATGGGCAACCTACTCTTTTTTATGAAAGTTATCAAGTTATACTGCTTACTATGCAATAAGAATAAAAACATTGTCAAAAATACCTGTCTGTGAGCTAAATATGGGTGAAATGGTAGGAATAAAATATTCTGCCTTCGTATAGCGTTAGCCAAATGTGCCGTGATGGTGCATGTCACCTTAATTGCAACTTCTCCAGCTAGGAAATGAATACCTTCGTGGGTAAGAAGGGTGAGATGTGAATCCAGGAGCCTTAATTTGGATGGGTGTATTTTAGAAGTGGTAATGCTAAATTCAGCAGAGGTCTTGTGTTTGGTTTTGGTGTGAAGTAATGTTTTCACAGCACTAATGTAGTGTAATGTTAGTCGCTGAGCTCTCTGGAGAGAGGAGAGGCTGCCAGCTCTTACAAACCTTATTTTCAGAAACAAAGCCAATAGAAATATACAGTGTTCTCCAACAAATCGAGCGTAAAATGTGTAAGAAAGAAATTAGTCTGAAAGATTTAACCTCCTCTTGTAATTTTTTTTTTTTTTTTTGAAGGAGGTGACTTGTTTTGATTTTAAAAATCACTGAAGTTGCTGCTTCAGCGCTGGCGACTGGTGTTAAATATTTCCATGTGTAGTGAGGCCAAGGCTGAGCACTGAGGGGGAGAAAGCAACTTTTTTGTCATCTGGGTGTGCATTTTGTAGCAGCTCAAAGGTTTTCTCTGGCCAGTCTGAGATTTTACTGCAAGTAGAATTGTTGTGCTGCCAGCACACAGAAACCAGATATATCATATCTTCCTTCAGCGCTGCGTGTGGTTTGTGGAAGCCTCAGGAGCTGTGCTTGTGCCCTGTTTGTAGTTTGGGAGTTGATGGCATTATTTAACCTATTGCGGTTATTGGAGCTGAGGAGGGGGAAGAGAAGAATGTTGAAAGAGACATTTTATACTTTTTCAGCGTTTTTACTGCCGAACCAATCTGAGAGATACCATTAAAATGCCAAAGATGCCTGATGAGCCGGCTTTATTTGTGTCCCTTTGGCAACTTGGAGTTAATTGGATGGGGGAATGGGATGTAAGACTAACTTTTAGAATATAAATTGGTTGCAGATGTTTGCAATTGTCCTTTCCTACACAAAAAAAGCTTTATTTCAGTGTTGGTGGATTTTTTTTTTTTAAATATTGGGGAGGGGAAAACATAAAATAAGTGCAAATTAAAAATGCATGGGAGTAGGTTGAATGAACTCTACTTTCTTGTACACAGAATGTATTTTCTGGTGAAGGAAAAGCAGGACCACTGAAGCTAATTCAGATTTGAATAGGTGTTGATAGAAACTTAATTCCTATTACATTTTTATTTAGAAGTTCATGAGTACAAATTTCACATTCTTGGTTGTCTAATACCTACTTGTAGAATAGTGGAGCTGCAGAACGTCACATTCAGTGAACTGCTCCAGTGGAAATCTTTTACACCAGATGGTATAAAATGGTTTTGTTTTTCCCCCCACTAGCATTGCTAGGATGATAATAGGTGTTAGATGTTGCCTTAATACTTCTAATACCGTCACAAGAAACTGCTTTTACAGGTACATTACTCAATCCAAATTCTTCCTGTACCTGTTAAAGACAAACTTGTTGAAGAGCTGGGTGGTGATGGTTTTAAGCACCTCAATTTATTTTGCTAACCAGAGAAAGGGTTTGCTTCCAACCCACCCTTCTGCCTCACAGTGTAATTTCTGCACAACAGCAGGGTGAGCTCTGTCTGTTTGTCAGGCTTAAAAGGTCATGGTTGGGTACAGAAGTTCACAAGTGACTTGGGACACAGGAAAAACTGAGTCTGATTTGTCTGACTCTGTGTGGTGTGTATTTTTTTCCCTTCCATAATTGCGTCGGACATCATACTGTGCTAACAAAAGACCCTGTTATATTTTTATTTAGAAGTATGTGAGTACAAATTTCACATTCTTGGTTGTCTAATACCTACTTGTAGAATAGTGGAGCTGCAGAACGTCACATTCAGTGAACTGCTCCAGTGGAAATCTTTTACACCAGATGGTATAAAATGGTTTTGTTTTTCCCCCCACTAGCATTGCTAGGATGATAATAGGTGTTAGATGTTGCCTTAATACTTCTAATACCGTCACAAGAAACTGCTTTTACAGGTACATTACTCAATCCAAATTCTTCCTGTACCTGTTAAAGACAAACTTGTTGAAGAGCTGGGTGGTGATGGTTTTAAGCACCTCAATTTATTTTGCTAACCAGAGAAAGGGTTTGCTTCCAACCCACCCTTCTGCCTCACAGTGTAATTTCTGCACAACAGCAGGGTGAGCTCTGTCTGTTTGTCAGGCTTAAAAGGTCATGGTTGGGTACAGAAGTTCACAAGTGACTTGGGACACAGGAAAAACTGAGTCTGATTTGTCTGACTCTGTGTGGTGTGTATTTTTTTCCCTTCCATAATTGCGTCGGACATCATACTGTGCTAACAAAAGAATGTTTTGCAGTTCTCAGCTCTATTCTTAAGACACAAAAATATGCACATAGGCAAACGAAGTGGGACGGACCGCCCTTTTGGAGGAATCGTTTACTTCTTTGCTTCTGTTTAGTCAGACAGAGGCTTTATTCTTTCCCTTTTCAGAGGCAGCATTTCAGCGCTCAGAGATTTGACGTGTTGTGGGGACTAGAGCGGAGTTGCAGCACAGAAACCATTTGCTGGGCTCCTAACACCATTCAGGGCCAGCTTGCCTTCAGTTAACTTTTGAAATCCTATTTTATACACTTTATTGTGTGGTTTTACAATTCTGTTGACAGACAAAGATTAAATAAAGAGATTAGTAAATATTAAAGACTGCCCAGAGGTGAATGCAACTCCAGCAGTGTAAAATACTGCTTGGGAACTGGAGACAGGGTTTGTTTTTTTTATTGCTGGTGTCTTTTTTTCCACATTACTCTTCAGACACTCCTTGCAGTATACTTGTGTAATTTATAAGTCACTCTAGAGCATATTACATTTAGGGGCAGGCTTTTGTCTGATCTTCAAGAAATTATTTGAATGCTAATTGCTATTCTGGTTTGTGGCAAAGCAGTGAAATGTTTACACCTTAATTCTGGTGTTCCAGAGCCTGCCCACTTCATTAGCTAGTGACAACCAGATAATTTGGGATGTGGCCCTGCCTCTAAGTAACCCGGTAAACTTTGGGGCAGGTACTAGCTATGATGGAATTGTTTTGGGTGGTTATAGAAGTTTTTGGTTTGTTTTTAAATAAGTTGTCCGGCTTTATCTCCGAAGGAAGCCTCACTGTAATGTTTTTAATTGCCGCCTTTTTTGACTATTAAGGGAAGTTGTACTCTGAGCCTTTTAAGGCCATTCCTGTGTACTTGTGGCTCTCTAAAGGCTGCGGCTTGTATGTGGTAAACCAGGGTTTGTTTATCATCTACTGGCAAGAGCAGGAAACTGGAAGTCAAACCCTGCATTATGTTCGGGCTTTGGCTGTGGGAGGTTAATCTCTGCTTTCTTTGCCTTGGAGGATACAGGTGGTCTGGCTGGAGTGGGAAGAGGGGGTAATAAAATGCTCTGGGATCCTTGAGATGCCCCCTGATTCTTTAGGAGACTTTTTTGCTTAGGTCATTAGACTGGTCTGTTTCTGAAACAAAATCTTTCCTTTGATAGCATTACTGCAAATCCGGTGGTCTTGCCTCTGTTTGTTTTTAAAATAACATTCCTTTTGAGGAATTTTATCTAGCCAACATGCAAAATTGGAAGTGAGCCACGATGACTTCCTGCAATTGTTGTGGGTTACAAAGCTGTATTTAAATGAAGTGTTAAGCTACTTAAAGCATTAACCGATGACAGACTTTAAATCCTGAGAGTAAGAGGGCGATGGCAACTATTAATGAGAAATAACTTCTTGGAAGCTTAAAAATGTAAAATGGTTAAATTCTTGTATGAGTAAGAGTTCTATCACCTGGCTAAAAGCAGACTGTTTAATGTTCTGAAGTATGAAAATGAGTTTTCTCATTCAGTTCTGCATATAGTGCCAAGTGCTCGGGTCTGTCCTACGTGTGCTTTGGCAGTGTATGCTGGTGGGGTTTGCCCTGCTTGAAATGCTCAGCAATGAGCAGGACGTGAAATTCTGGCAGGGGTTCTTCACTTGAAAAGCAACATTTCTAGAGGATAAACTTGTAAACTGTGCTTAGTTTCCCAAACCTGAGTGCTCTCCCAGTTTCTCCTGCACAACCGTGGCCGTGTATGTTACTAACCAGTTTCCCCTCCAGTACAGTCAGGAGGATTTCCTGAACCAGTCCCCAGTAAATCCAGTTGCTGATGCCTGGTGCTGGCTCAGCAACGTGGCTGCATCGTACGAAGTACAGACCTGGTTCAAGGGTTAGGGTCCCGCTTGGATTTGTTCAAACAGTAACAAAGGGGCAATTTTATTTTGGCAAACTCTCGGCTGGCTGAGGTTGGTTTGCTGTTCCTCACCCAGCACAAAGCCTGCAGAAGGTGCTGGACATCCTGTAGCCCATGCTCTGGTCAGTGTGACTGTAGTTGTAGGTTGTGCCTCGTCTGGATCATGGCTACCTTTGGATATCGGTACAGAGGGATGGGCTGAGGAACCAGAATTGCAGACTGTCCTCTAAACCATGGAGAGGTTCCTCGAGACGTTAGACCTCGTCCTTCTGAGCAGTCACCCTGGACTGTAGTCAATAGTTTCATCAGAGGGAAGTTGTAAGTGCTGCTACTGAAGAAGTGCCAAGCAGTGCTGTAATTTTATTTCTGGTTGCACCAGCCTGGGACTAACGAACGCTGTCATGATTTACTGGGGGAAAAATTGGCTGCAGCTTTTTAGATGATGCTTTGGATTTTATAGCTTGTAGTGAATCCACATCTTGTTATTGACTTCAACTTTGCATCTGAATCTGCTGATGAGGCAGATGTGAGAGCTTTACATTAAAGGCATTTTGGGGTGAATGTATATGTGCAGCTGACACACAGGCTTCTAAAGAAATCCCTGCGGGGCTGTTCCTTGTCAGCACGGCATCAAGGCACGAGTAGAGGAGAGAGAAGCCAATTGCTTATAAAATAGACTGGATTAGCTTGATAAGGGTTAGTATGAAAGGAGCTGGAGTGAATAGTGAGAGGTATTGCCAAAACTGACTTAAGATTTAGAAATGTCTGAGTGTTTTAGCTTGATTGTATTTCTCTTGTGTCTAGTCTTGCTAATGCAGGGGGGATCCTCCTCCCTTTGCCCAAATGTGCTGCTCTTGTTTGTAAATAGTTTTGTCACTGGGGAAAACTTTAAGCAACATTTTAAAAATACGATGTTTAAGCATCTGTCAGCTTGTCTAGACCCAGGTTCTGTGTGCACATCAGGAGTGGTTTATACACACTGCTCTCTCTCAGACTTGCTTATTTCCAGAGAAGCTCTGTGTAAAAGGGGAGGATTATCACTGATCGCAGATTACGCTATATATAAACTCTGTACTGCAGGTCTTGGGAAAGAGAATGCGGTGTTTATATATCCCCTCCACTAATCAACATTATATTGACTTGAGAAAAAACATAGCCAGAAATAGGAGGAAGCAGCTGGTTTTAAGTATTTGAAATTAATTGTTATCAAGTATGTATTCAAAGTGCTAATCAAGCACTCACTTTTTTAAAAACAAAACCAAGTGATATCTTTTTAAAACTGCAAGGATATGAAAAGAAGTGCTAATCAAGCTGTAAACTCACTTTTTTTAAAACAAAAGCAAGTTATATCTTTTTAAAACTGCAAGGATATGAAAACTTCAGGCAGTGCTTTTGTGATTGTAGCAATGAAAGCTGGGGTCATGGATATCCCGTGCTTACTTCTGTACTGGTTTATATTTCACCCTAGAAAACCAGCAGACCTTCAAAATTTGGCTCCAGGCACTCATCCGCCCTTCATCACCTACAACGGTGAAGTGAGAACAGACGTGAATAAGATTGAAGAGTTCCTGGAAGATGTTTTGGCTCCACCCAAGTAAGCATGAAAATGATCATTTCTTACCTTAGATTAGATGGAGTGTTCTCAAAGGGGGTTTTCTGCACCAATTAAGATGTTCTTCAGCATCACTAAACTGAAGATTAGACGTTGAAAACAGCGTGGAGTTCTTGCTTGTCCCTCCAGCTCCCCCATCTGTGTATTAAAAAGTGCTTTGGTATTCCTCAGAAAAGTGATTAAGAAGTGTTGAGTTTAAAAATCTTAACTTAAATGGAAGTGTGTGATACTACACTTAAGAAGCAAACCCTCCAAATTAATCTGAAAATGGATAAATTGGCAAATGTACATGATGTAGAATATATATTTTTTTTAAAGAAGGGCTGTTTTGTGCTCGTTAATGTATGATGAGTGTCATTCTGCTAAATGTGCTCTAGATCTTCTCCTTTCTGCTTCTTAGGTACCTGAAGCTTTCACCAAAGCATCCAGAATCAAACACTGCTGGGATGGATATATTTGCCAAATTTTCTGCATTTATCAAAAATTCTAGACCAGAAGCTAATGAAGGTGGGTTACTTGGGGGCAGATAGTTGTGCCCACGTTGTTTTATTGTCTTGTGCTTTTCAGAGCAGCTTGACTGTGAAGTGTGTGACAAATACTGCTGTGTGTTGATGGACACTTGAGGGAGTAATGAATTAAACTTGTGGTTTAAAGTTAACGATGTGAGACAAAGTTTTTAACACTTCCAAAGAGAACTTCAGTTAGACAGTGTTCCATCAGAATTTGGGTAGGGTTTGTAGATACATGGTTTGTAGATACATGGATTGTGAGATATCCCTGGCATTGAAACATCTCAACAGCCACTTAAAACTCTTGAACTAAGTGCTGGGATGGATATATTTGCCAAATTTTCTGCATTTATCAAAAATTCTAGACCAGAAGCTAATGAAGGTGGGTTACTTGGGGGCTAATAGTTGTGCCCACGTTGTTTTATTGTCTTGTGCTTTTCAGAGCAGCTTGACTGTGAAGTGTCTGACAAATATTGCTGTGTGTTGATGGACACTTGAGGGAGTAATGAATTAAACTTGTGGTTTAAAGTTAACGATGTGAGACAAAGTTTTTAACACTTCCAAAGAGAACTTCAGTTAGACAGTGTTCCATCAGAATTTGGGTAGGGTTTGTAGATACATGGATTGTGAGATATCCCTGGCATTGAAACATCTCAACAGCCACTTAAAACTCTTGAACTAAGTAGAAATTATTTTAACATCCACAAACAAATTCCGTGCCGAGTTTGTGTCATGCCCCAGTGGTTGAGTTGCCACGTGTTCGCTGCGAGGCCGTTCTGTGCACTTCATTATCTGACCTTTGTAGGATTGAGGGCTCCCTGGGAATTCAGAATTCCCAATTAAGCTTACTTGGTGTTGCTTTCTTTAAAGATTAAGACCTTTATGTGGAGCCAACATAGTAGATGGAAGGAGAGAGATCAATGAGATAAAGAATGCACAATTAGATCTTTAAGTAGTTTGGGACAAATCTGTTGCCCTCGCTGTGCTTGGAGGGAAAACTCAAGCTGGGGAATTGGAATGTCTTTCCTGCTGTATTTCAAGTGGAGAGAGGCAAAATATTTGTAAACAGTGAGAAATGCTTTTCGATTTTGTGGGGTGTGCTGCCCTCTGCTGCTGTGTTCAGTCCTGGCTGTCGGCTGAGCATGTGACATTAAACAGATTACATTTAAATGAATATAAACCCCAGCATAGCTTAATTCTAATTAGCTTAAGCCAGTTAGGAATAGCCTTATGAAACTGACATAAGCCACTTTTTAAACCAAAAATAAACGCTTGTGGACAATCTTAGAGTATTTTAAATTAGTGCAAACTCATGTATAAGCCAACTTTTAAATAACCTGCATCTGTGTGGTGTTCAAAGGGATTCTAGTTTGATTTCAGTGTTAATAGTGACCACGAAGACAGCTCCAGGAGTAGTGTTGCCCCAAAATTTGTACAAAGGTTAAAAACCCTTCGGTGTACGGCGTGTTCTGGGTAGTACAGTGATGGGGATTTTATTTTTCAGATTTGCTACTAATAGCAATATTCTGAACGATTATGTGCTTTGAAATTTGTGAGCTGTGGTTTGGTTTGGCTTTCTTTTTTTGTTCTTAAAACTGTTCCTTCCTCCGCAGCCTTAGAACGTGGCCTCTTGAAAACCCTCCAGAAACTGGATGAGTATCTGAACTCTCCTCTTCCCGATGAAATAGATGAAAATAGCATGGAGGATATTACAGTTTCTACCCGCAAGTTTCTGGATGGCAATGAGATGACATTAGCAGACTGCAACCTGCTCCCCAAACTACACATTGTCAAGGTAAATGCCTTGTGTGGCGTTACGGGATAACCAGGGACAAAATGCTTATGGGTTGTGACATTCTGGGGTCCAACTACTTTCAGCTGTTTGTAAGCACCTGTGTAAGTTTAACTGCAGTATTAACATTGCGTAAGATTTGGGTTACTCCCAAATTAGAGGTCTAATTAAGGGTATTTAGAGGTAGAGCAGCTGAATTCACTGAAGGTGTGAACCGTTAGACAAGTTGGGGGGCAGATGATAGTTGGGTTACTCCCAAATTAGGGATATTTAGAGGTAGAGCAGTTGAATTCAGCAAAGGTGTAAACCGTTAGACAAGTTGGGGGGCAGATGATAAAATGGCAGAAGCCTAAACCCATTTTTCTGCACTGACCAACATTTAAAAGGAGGTGGCAGAAGGAGGAAGGTGAACATCATGTGGCATTTAATATTTGAAGTGGATGTCTTCTCACAGCTGTAGAGAAAACTGCTCCATTAGTCACAAAGTAAATTATAAATTTTAATAGAAGGATTGTATTAAAAAAGGAAGTTAGAAGTCTGGACAGAAGTGGCTTGGAATAACTAGAGGAGTGAAGATGTGCCTGTATAATGCTGGTTGGATGTCTTTTCATTGTCTCCCATGATCTTTGTCAGTTTTGTACTGCAGATGGAGCCACAGATTAAGTTTCTGCCTGGGTGCAGAAGCGTTTCCTTTGGTGAGGACAGTAACCCAGCCGGAGCGAGAGAGCGCTGCTGGGCACGGCCTGGAGGGGACAATTCTGCTGAGTTTAACAGTGACTCTGAGCCTAACGAGAGAGTGACAAGGGATGGAAAGGTGGTTGAAGGATGTAAATTCACAATCTAATTCTTTTATTCTAGGTGGTGGCCAAAAAATACCGCAACTTTGAGATTCCCAAGGAAATGACAGGGATTTGGAGATACCTGACGAATGCTTACAGCAGAGATGAATTCACCAACACCTGTCCTGGAGACAAAGAAATCGAAATAGCGTACAGTGATGTAGCCAAGAGACTCACTAAGTAACCAGCCACCTGCAAAAGAGATGACTTCTTGCATATTCCATAACAATGCTTCTAACAGACTGCTCTTTTCATATAAGATAGCAATTTTTTTTGCATGAACTTGCAGTTATTCAAAGTTATGGTGGATAGACCAGGTACAGTAATTACCTAAAGTTTGCAGACTTAATTATAGGCTTGTTTTTCCTTACCTCCTTTCACAGCAAGTTTTGAATATCATTAATGCAGTTATGTTAATGTTGCACTGGGGTAACTCTGGATTCTTCAGTGTGAAGAGTTATCTTGCCCCTACTGCTTTTCTTTGCAGATGTTTGGTCCCTGTCTACGAATTGGTTTAGGATCCTGTCTCGCTATATGGTACAAGGAATATTTATGTATTTTGGAATTTACTGCTTTTCCAGAAGGTCTATACACAATTGTATCTGTGACACACTGAACTGTACCTGCTCGTCTATCCTATTTAAGTATAGAAGGGAACTTATTATCCAAAAGAGCCATTTGCAGAATTTTTGGCAATGTTTTCTAAAATATTTTCTCTTGGATTTGGAATCACGATAATGGTTGGGAATGGACTCAAATGTGAAACTGGGGTTTGAATGAGCTCAGACATCAGGGAAGTCTGAATCCAGGCTGGAGTGCTGTAGCAGGAAGCTCAGAGTTAGTATTTAGTTGTGTCTTCAAGAGCTTGATGAGATTAAAAAAACAACACTTTTTTTTTTTTTTAAATTGGCAACCTACATTTGTCCCAAATTCCGAGTTGCAGCGAAGGAATAATTGTCAGGATGCCCTTTAACATCACGAAACCAGAAGAACTGGATGCTTGCCATCCGTTCACCTTAAAAATTGCAAGTGGCTTTTTTTTTGGTAGTTAGGAGCCTTTGTTTTTGTATGAGGTCTTTCTGGTGATATTTACTTACAAAAATCTGTGCTGTCATAAACAAAGTATCTGTAAACATTAGTGTCCTGGTTGATAAATAGCTACTGTACACGGTGAATAGCAGTGCAATGATTAGAGATACAAGACCCAACGCCGAGAGCTGTTCAAGTGGGAGTCTTTCTGGGAACTTTTTAAAGCTAAAGTGACCTTTAAAGATAACGTTTGCCTTAAATTATAGTATGCTTTTTTTTTTTTTTTCCCTGAAAGGGAATCTGTTAATCTCTCTTGTAAAGAAATGGTGTGTGAAGTCCAGTCCTTCACGTGGAATTTATCCCAATTGCTTGTCTGTGCACCTGGGCTGCAGTTTTGTGTAATCGTAATCATTGCACTACTATACAGAGTCTTTTTACAGCAACACTGAGGAATAGCACTACAATTTTTTTAAAAGCAATTTTCAAATGTTTCTAAGCCAGGGAATAGTTTTCTTGTTTAAAATTAATGATTTTGATGCATGGAATAAACTGATAGGTTATTTTTAAAAGACCATCATAAACAACTCCAAAGAACGCTAGACTTATATGCCTATTTTTTTGTAAAGATACTTTTATATTTAACTGATTTTAGAAGCTGGAAAGTGCTATTCCCGGTAGGTTGTTCTTGGAATATTTAACATTCTGTAATAACATGGAAATGCTCACATAAACACTTTTATACACTAATTTTTTTTTTGGTAAGCACTGGCTTTATGAAAACCAGCCTGACTTTTCTAAGCGTCCTGCTTTTGCTACTTTATATACCCGTGAATTTAGTTTTGACATAGAAGAGGTAGATACAAGATCCATATTTGTATACATGGCTTGTGGTGCCTTGTCTTGCCTTCCTAGAGCTAGAATTCCAATATAAAGGCAGTTAGCAATCCTGTTACACGTCTTTCGGAGACAACCACAGTTACACTTAAACCCTATCATGATTTTTTTTTTTTTTTACAGGGGTGTTTAGGCACAGAAAGAAAATTCTGCAGAGCGACCTGGTTAGGAAAAACATAACTGTAGCCTTTTATTAATTACTGTATTCTAATGTCACGTTCTCATCCTGAATAAAGTTTCTCAGCCGTAATAATCCTCTGTAGGGGTTCAGTCTTTGCTACAACGTGACATCTAGAAAAAGGACTGACTTCCTTTTTTTGTTAGATAACAACATTTTGAATGACACATAGGGTAAAAAAAAAAAGAAACACAACCCAACACTCATTGGTTTGGTGCTCTCAAAAAAAGCAACACAACCCAACACTCATTGGTTTGGTGCTCTTTGCCATCGTGTAGTTAGTTAACCTTTAAAAAATATGGGAAGCAACGTGATTGTGGGCATAGCTTTGTTAAGTTTGTAATTCTACTTCAAAACCCAGATGGGGATGGCCCTTGCAAGTTGTCTGAGGTTGCAGTAATGGGCTCTCCCTCCTTTTAAAAGCAAATTAGCCCTTGCGTGCACACTTGAGTAGAGCAGGCAATTTATGTGCATATGAGGATGAAAACACCTTTGTGCCGCTCGCTGGGTGCGCGCTGCCTGCATGTCAATGCACCCAGCTCCTTAAAACGCCAGGCGTGTTGTCTTTTAATAGATAATATATTCTCTCTACTTTGTAGGCAATCTTCAAAAATTGTAATACCTTGTATTCAGCATTAAGTATTCTAATGATTGTGTCTGAAAGCTTGTAAACAAAGGTGAAGCTCTTGCTCTAACTAATGGATTTCTTATCTCAGTACAACTGGAGTGTTGAGCGTCGGAGCCTTTCCCTTATAGATGGAATTGAAACGAGGACCAGGTTAACGATTCCGATGCATGAAAGCTCTTAACTGTCCTGTGTGAAAGGAGTTGGGATCTTTTAGGTTTCCTGTTGCTGGGTTGTGTCGTGGCAGAAGCTGCCAGGTTCTCCCTGGCTCCAGTTGAGGAATCTCGTGGCCAAGGAACAGCTTCCACCTCGGTGGGGTGATCCCTGCGGAGCAGCCGAGCGGAGCCGGGGAGGTGTGGAAAAGCCGTAGCGTCTGGTGTGGGTAGTAGAGCACTTTCATCTGGCCCCAATCACCAGCCTTACATTAATTAAAAAAAAAAAAAGCCCTTTCATAACTATGTAAATTCTTGACTTCTGTCAACTTGTTTACAATCTGATCTTTAAATGCATTTTTAATTTCATCAAACAGCAATTAATCTACCCCCTGTTTAAATTTAAAATGATGCTTCTAGCCCCTTCTACAATTTAAAAACAGCAGTTACCCTTTCAAGTAGGCATTCCAGTTTGCAAGTTGGTTGCATGTATTAGCATGCTGAATAACTTACTTTATTCTCAAGCTGAAATATGCTTAAATTCCCATTAAAACAGGTGACTTGTGTATTTCCTGAACAGAAAGGGAAAATCCATCATCTTCACCCTGGTTTTGTGTGGGAGAAGAGATTATACTATATGCATGATTTTCTTTTCTTTTATTTTTTTTTCCTTAACAAAGCTCTCCTTCTTGAAGAGGTTTCCTTCTGTGTAAGAGCTGCCTGTTGAACAAGAGGCATGTGAATTCTGAAATAATTTCATGCACCCCAGAGCTTTCCAGTCCATCTGCTGGTCCCTGCTGCTCTGTGTAAGTGTCCCCCCGCCGACGGTCACGGCCACGGAGCTCCTACGTTTGCATTTTCCCATAAAATTGGTGGTTTTTTCCGCAATGGGCATGTCTAAACCGATTGAGAGTTGCGTGCAGTTCCATGATAAGAAGAGAGATGTAATCAAGTTTTTATGCTAAAGTAGCAAATTAGCATTTCGTATCAAAGGAACACAGACATGAATAAATTGAAGATGCTTGAGCCAAACCCACTGATGCCTATCTCAGTGCAGAACAAAAAGTGGCCAAGTACAGTCAACTTTCTTTTTTTTTTTTTACTCTTTGCCACTCAGAGCACTATCTGAACGTGTCCAATTAATATTTTCAGAAGGAGGCTTTATCCCAAGTGAAAAAATACTTAATCTGCCTCAGAACCTGTGCCACCAACTATTACATCTTGTTTCTGAAGGGGTTGGGGAGGGGGGGAGATGGGAGAACAGTGGAGCAGAATTGGCTATCGAGACTCCCGGGAACAGGACATCCAGAATTGGAGCATTGTTTGCAGAAATACTTGAAGAGTTGATACAATTTATTGTAGTTTGCTTATGTCTTTCACTCTCTGGAACATCTTTTACAGATATACCAGTATACTGCTGGCAGCTATTGTTAAAAATAAAATTATATTTTCACTACCAAGCAGATCTTTCTCTTATTTCTGAAGACCACAGTTCTCGTGTCTGTAAGCTCTGGCCTGAAGGTGCTGTGCTGAACTACAGAACACATCTTTGTAGTAGTTATAGTCTCCATTTTTGTCCTTCTGGGTTGTGTTTTTTCAGTGATGGTGTGATTTAAGGCAGAATAGCAGTTGTTTCTGACACTATAGCTGGCTGTTGTGCCCCTTAAAGAACAGGCTGAGAAATAATGGTTTGTCCTACAGAAATTGTGACAAGTGGGTGGGGTGTTTTTTCACATTTTGAGTGCAAACTTTTAAGAACAGAAGTTTTGGTAGTTTGTTCTTCTGTGGAATACAAGGTTTTCAGAGTTAAACTGTGAAAATTAATTAAAAAGACATCAAAAAAATGTCTCATGTTTGGTTGAGCTGGTTTCCCCCTGGCTAATCCACTAAATAGCCATTTCTAGAGTTGAGATTGGATGGATCCCATCTACAGAATTCATGGATTTCAGCCTCGGTGCTCTTAGTCTGAGTTTCAGCCCTGTTTCCATACTGTATTTTGCTTTCAAAGGTCTCAACCAGCCACGGTAAACACCCTACACCCTTTTTTTTTTTTTTTTAATTATGAGTATGTTAACGAGGTACTAGGTCTTCAGAGCAAAGCCCACCAGCCACTAGTGGAAGTTTTCTTCAAAACTTCCCAGAGTGTTATCGTGTCAATCTTGTGTCTGTCTCGGGAGTGTTTGAGGTGCATCTGGGCTCTGATTTGTGTTTTTGAAAGGAAATTTGTGGAATCCAGGAGACATTCCTGGAGCCTGTAATCTGGGGCTGCCATCACCTGAGCACGTGCAGGGAAGTAAGAGACATGCTCAGAGGAATTCACAAATCCAGCGATTAGACCCTTGGGGGGTAGGATTTTGTACTTGTATCACTAGATTATTTTACTGATTTGGGAGTTTTATGGTGAGTTTTGCAGTAAGATTTGCAGTCGCCTTGTTTGGGTTTGGTCACAAATGTCCATGAAGTGCAACAGGGTGGGGAGGAGAAGGGGGTGCAACACCCTCTTGATGTGAAGAACATGCTGAAAGGGAGGAATATTGAGCTGTGAGGATGGTGCTCCTCCTGTGTGGCAACAGCAGGAGGATTATTTTGTCTAATTTTGGTTTGCTTCGAGAGCTGTTGTTAACTAGCTAATAACCTTGCTATTTTTTTGCTAGATTTTCTTTAAGACAGCTCAGGTGACCGCCTGTTCTGGTGTGGAAGGTTCCTTCTGGATGTCCAGCAAGAAAGAGCTGGATTTTTGGCTTCAGTGAAAGCTCTGGAGCCCACTCCAACCAGTTTCGTGTGGCTGCTGACTGCGAGCAACGGCAGGAATTAAAGAGTTTGAGGAGGCTGAGCATGACCGCTGCGTCCTCCCCGTTCTCAGGGACAGCTCGGATCCAAATCATTCTCAACTTGGCTCCATTCCTGGTTTCACAGCTCTGGTTTACCCCTCCAAAAAATGCTGCCGTGTTCTCCAGGAAAACCACTCTGGGGGTTTATGATGAACTCTTGGTGGTTTGGGCTCTGGATTACCAGGACTGTGATAAACAGGGATTGTGAAAGGAGCTGGGATCCTTCACCCCGGCCCTAAGGACAGCGCAGCGACCTCCAAGAGCTGCAGTGACTGCTGTGAAGTGTCACCCTTCTCCTGTGTCCTGTCCACTCCCTGACATCAACGTGCTTTAACTAGACCCCAGTCAGATTTAATTGATTGTTTTCTCTCCATTTGTACTCCTGCCCCATTCCCATCAGCCTAACCATGTCCTGGCGGTTGCCGTCAGTCTCTGGTGCCAAACCAGGGGAGATCTCCTCGTCTTGAGCTCGGGTTCACCTTGAGATGTGTTTTTCATGGCCTTGGAAGTGTTGGCACCTTGTTTGGAAATACTGTTTTTAGATACTCATCAACTTATTTTGGGGAAGATTCACCAAGAAGTTCCTAGAAACAGACTTAGCATTTCGTTATCCCTGGGTAAAAAATGGAACGCTGCTCTTGTTCACATTTCAGAAGATGGATCTGATTTGTCTTGGTTCATTCCTTTGGCAATTAGCACGCTTTATTAGGGCTTCAGTTTCCTTACTCCAAAAGAGGCTAAAACACGCTATTTGCCAAAAGCTTCAGTAATATTAATTGTGCTGTGGAAATTCCAGAAACAATTTTCTAATTACTTCCTCGACTCGAGTTTTCCCATAAACAGCAAACCACGGGAGCTGAAGGGCTGAGGAGACCCCGCGAGTGTTTCGCTCCGGTACTTGCTGGTGCAGGAATAAACCAATTTGTCAGAGGGTAGTGGAGATTCTTACGGAAGGGAAAAGAAACCTGGACAAACCTTTGTACTCGGTGGGATGGAAGAGGAACTCATTTGACGTGGTTGCCCGAGGGTTTTTTGGACACTGGTTACAAGGAAAGCTGAGGATGAGCTGAGTGTCTAAACATTTCTGCTGTCTCTGAAAGTCTCCGGGAGAAAGGGTGGATGAAGTGAGTCATGAGTCAAGAATACGTTTAACTGTAGTTCCCAAACTCCTCTGGGTGGCTGACGGGCTGGCCAGGAGGCCAAGGAGAGCCTTTGATGAGGATGAAGATGAAGCAGGGGATAGTGTGAACAGAGGGTGAATGGTCCACGAGGAGTTGACTGACCTTTTAATCACAAACTAAAAGGAGCTGCTGCTCCAGGGCTTTACTTTCTTCGCCGGATTCGTTCCGCAAAACCAAGATTCACCTTGAACTGGTGAATTATTCCTGCCCAAATGCTGGGGTTTGCGGTGGTCTCCTGAGGTCAGTGGGGAACGTGGTGAGACTTCAAGCAGTTTCATCTCCAGTG